TATATACCAGGGGCATTGTTTTGAAATTTTAAACCGGATATTGGTAATACAACTTCATGGAAATCTTATTTCAAAATAAAAGCCACTAGTTTATCAATATGTTAACTATTTCAAACTTATGCACCACAATAATTTTCTTTTCTTACATTTTAAATTTATATACAGACAAAATAAAACAAGATAAGTTGAAATAATGTTTACTAATTTGTCATGACAAGCGCGTTTTCCAGAAGCGTAGTGTTTTGAAATTTCTTACCGGAAGTCTTTTAAACAGCTTAAATCCGCTTTAAAGTCGTATTAGCTGAAGGTAAAGATGTCGSGGGAGGAATAGTGATCGTGGTGAAAGTAAACTAAGGAGAACATCTGYCTGGAACATCTTTCAACAGGTAAAATAAGATGAAACGTAGTGTTAAAATGTGACGATTAATGGCGTCTGTCAGGTAATGACTGACAGTGAAGTTCCAACACTGCACGTACAACAAATATTTGATTGTTTATTCATTGTGACACGTTTGAACTCACCATGCATTTTATTTTGCTGTTTTAGTAAATTACGTAATAACAACTAGGTCTGTTTGGGTGTTATTCATTGTGTACGTCCACTTCCGGGTTGTGCATTACTTTCCTTCGCTTCAAAATGAAGTTAAATGTTGTAAATATGCAGTCTATAATACTGATACTGTCAGTTTTTATCCTTGTGGGCTTTTAAGCCTTGTTGTTATAATAACACAAAAATAACAGTATATCAATTTGATGCTTTCTAAACAAGTTAATACAGTGGATTTTAATCTCATGGCTTTTTTTTTTTTTTTGCTCTTAACTCCATCTCGGTTGGAAAACTCCAAATATTAGTCTGAAAAAGCAGGTCTGAACCATGATGCATCTTCCTCTGTGTTCTACACTTGGATGTTCATCTCTCTCAATAGTCTGTGCACTGTAATGAAAGTTTGATTCTAGTTTTGATATTGTTCCAGGAAGTTTGTTGTAATCTCAGTCCAGTTCCTGGACCAGTGTTTGTCTTTTAAAGAATGCTATCTTGGGAACAACACATGGACCAACTGAAGGGACAGATTTATCTTTTATATCAAGTCTTTCCCTATTTAAGGACATTTTTTTTGTGTGTGACTAACAGCTGTATCAGATCAAATGTTTTGTTCAAAGTTATGTGWACACTTTTCCAAACGCTGTATATTWGGCATTTTTGGGGTAAGGTTTAACTGAAGAGGTTGAACTAATTGGCGGCCCGGTGGCTCAGTTGGTAGAGCTGTTGTCTCTCAGCAAGAATGTTGCAGGTTCCAATCTCAGTCGGGGACCTTTCTGGGTAGAGTCCTGACTGCATGCGTGGSTTTTCTCCAGTTTCCTCCCACAGACCAAAAAACATGAATGGTTCATGTGAGAGAGTGAGTGTTTGTCTCATTTGTCTCTGTGTGACCCTGTGATGGACTGAAGACCTGGGAACCTGGAAAAGAAGAAGCAGCTTGATTAGCTGGATGGTTGAACTAATTCACTGTAAATAAATAAACCAAGTCAAAACCATAGCTGGGATTAAAAGCAAAATATGAGTTCTCTGTCTTGCTGGGACTAACCTGGGGGAGACATGTTGTGTCGACAGACCCAAAACCGGTTCTTTGACAACTTATATATGTTGGACCCAAAACATATTCATGCTTTCAGATAGGCGCCTTGTATGATGCGTAAATAATTCAGTAGTTGATGTTAAATGGCTTAAATAAACAAATAAAACAGACGCAGTGAAAAKAATCCAAGGCCTGGCCTTTGGAAAATGCCAGAAGGATACTGATCAAGACTGCTTGACAGGATTCCAAGAAAGTCTGTCTGCTGTGGATAAACAACCATAAAAAGAACTGTGGATGATTTAGCTGGGTGCAACAGAACTGTGTTTAGATGCAAACTGATCCAATACGAAGTTTAAMATTTACACAGAGGTGAACTGAACACAGTCCTTATCTTTTCCTCTGCTTTGTCTTTAAAGTTCCAGCCTAACACACGAATAAGTTTTCAGTTTTTAAGTGCTGTAAAGTCGGTAAACAGTTAGATGAGCTGAGATGAGGGGAGCTTTAGTCAATTGAGATTTTTTATCTTCGCCAATTTCACAAGCTGAGTTTGTCAAAAAGATAGTAAAAATATCAGGTTATGGCTCTAATTGGGATAAAACGAGCTTGGTTAGATAACAGTAAATAAAATAATAATAAATAGATGTCTGTCTTTTTTAGGTATGTCTGGCACCGTCGTCGTCTAGTTTTCTGTAGAGAGCGTTTGTCACACGYTTGTTTTATAAATATAAAGCTGCAGGAAACATCACCCAGTTTCACATCCTGATTCGGGTCTAGTTTGGCCTTCCTGGCTGCTCTACAATTTCTACCTGTTTGTCTTTGTTTTTAAGTTTTCACATTAAGCTGCGCCTCAAGACCAGCACCACAACATGACTACATTCTTCTGTCCAACAATGAGGTGTTTGTGTTTGGCTCAAGGCAGCTGATGGTTATATACTCAGTGCTGTCCAACCATTGTCCTGGAGGGCCACTATCCTGCATGTTTTWGATGCTTCCCTGCTCTTCAGCAGAGCTTCAAGTTCTGYAACTCCCTGTTAATCACTTATTTATTCCAATGAGGTGTGTCAGAGCACAGAAACATCTAAAACATGCAGGCTAGTGGCCCTCCAGGACCWGGATTGGACACCGCTTGTCTAGAAGTTGTTGGAAAAGGACTTCAAAGGTGCATAAAACATGGCCTGCCTATTCTGATGTTTATTTATTATTAAACTCTGTACGTTGCACAGTGATATTTGTTGGTTTGGTTTCTTGCTCTTTCAGGATGTTCATTCAGATTCTGCTGTGCTTCCTGTTTGGCCTCGGTGCTCTGGCCACAGATAAAGACGTGACTCAGAAAGATCCGCCGCCACTGCTGCTGGTGTCGTTCGATGGCTTCAGRGCCGACTACCTGAGGAGGTTTCACATGCCGAACCTGGAGCTCCTGTACAGCCAGGGGGTCCTGGTGAAGGAGCTCACTAAYGTCTTCATCACCAAGACATTTCCCAACCACTACAGCTTAGTAAGCATGTTTTTCTTTTTCATTGTGAATAATTGTCTTGTTGCATCTCAATAATTCAGGTAGACAAATAAAAAAAAAGCTGAGCAGGTACTCTGGGTGATGGGAATCAAAACACAAATACTAGTCTGTGTGTGTGGATTAGTGATAGATATGAGTTTCCAACCGTCCTCCATCAGAGACATTGTCCAGGAAATCCAACCTGACATCTTTTTACCTCCTCTTGTGTGAATTGTATATATTTATCCACAGAGTTGATGTGATCAGTGAAATGTTGGGACGTCAGGACGTCCAAGATTTCACTGATCGCATCAAATCAGTCTTGTGGTATTTATAATAAGATAGGATGAACATTGAAAACACAGTTGATGTCAATTGTAAATATTTAAAAAATAAACAATCCCTGTTGGTTCTGTGTTCCTCTCCAGGTAACCGGCCTGTACGCCGAGTCTCACGGTATCCTGGCGAGCAGCATGTACGACCCCATCACCCACAAACACTTCAGCATCCGGAACGACACCGACCCCACGTGGTGGAGCAACGCCAAGCCCCTGTGGCTGACGGCGTTSGACGCTGGCTATAAGACGGCAGCCGTGATGTGGCCCGGCTCCGACGTGGCCATGGGCAACCGCACGCCAACGCACTTCTTTCCGTACGACTCCAAGGTGACTTTCCGGCAAAGAGTGGGCAACGTGACGAACTGGATGCTAGGAGACGGAAAGGTGAGAAGAAGGAATTTATTTATTTATTTTTTTAAAGAAATCATTGACACTGAAACACTGTGAGTGTTCTGATAGGAACAAGGAGTGATGTTTGCAGCTCTGTACTGGGAGGAACCGGACCGATCTGGTCACGCTTTTGGCCCCGACAATGCCACAGAAATGGCTAAAGTGATGAAGGAGGTACAGTTACATGATAATTGTATCACCGTATCATTAGCTGTGAAAAAAGTTGACAAATTTGTATTAACAGGTAGATGACGACATCGGTCTGCTGATGTCGGAACTGAACCGAACCGGCCTTTGGGGTCGCATCAACCTCATTGTGACCAGCGACCATGGCATGGCTCAGTGCTCGGCCGAGCGGCTCATACGCCTGGACGACTGTCTCCATCCTGACAACTACACCCTCGTGGACCTCACACCAGTCGCGGCACTCATCCCAAATGGAGGTAACCCAGTAAAATGAGACTTTATGATTAACTCTGAGTTTTCATCTTCATTTTACTCTTATTTTAACAACTGACTTAGTGTATTTTGCTTTGCAGACAAAGACGTTGTGTTCAACTTGCTAAATAAATGCCACCCCAACATGACGGTGTACTTAAAAACGGAAATCCCAGACCGGCTTCACTATCGGAACAACGAGCGTGTTCAGCCAATCCTTCTCATCGCCGATGAGGGTTGGACCATAGTGAGGCGTGGGAACACGCTACCAAGATGTAACGACTACAGCATAAGTCTCATTAATAAGCCCTTTAAGAACCACCACCACATTCTTTTTGTTTTCTGAACCCCCTGCAGTGGGAGATCACGGCTATGACAACTCATTGCCCAGCATGCACCCCTTCCTCGCSGCGACTGGCCCCAGTTTCCGTCAGGGTTACCAGATGGAGAGTTTAGAGAGTGTGGACGTCTACCCACTCATGTGCCACTTGCTGTCGGTGCCGCCGCAGCCCAACAACGGCTCCCTGAGCCAGGCGCGCCGTCTCCTGGCTGCTGAGACCCGTTGGAACGTTCCCGTGGTGATCGGCCTGGTGGTCAGTGTCATGCTTGTGCTATCTGCCGTCCTCGGTAAGTCCAACCAACGCAGGAATTTGGGAACAGGGGTTTGTGTCTATGGAGATGAATTAGTCTCAAAAAGATTTGCATGAGAGTGTCGATATGCTCGTTTGTGAATGTGAGTTAAACCATACTTACCGCTGCAGATTCAGTCATGTAATGCTGCGTTTAAGGCTGGTGAAAAGCTGGGACATGTGAGCTTTGCCAGATTTATTGGGTTATTGGGAAAATTAATTTCTGCTGTAGCTCAAAGACCCTATACAGGGTGTATCAGAAAAAAATGATACTCTCAGAAAAATTGCCATAAAATTAACAAAGATAATAATTTTGAAAAATGTGGGCGTAACCTTTTGTAGAGGGGATCATTCTGCTTTGAATGACACCAAAATCTGTGTTAACGCTTCACGCTCCAGTGAGCAGGKACAGTTGGAAATTCACAAAATTCATGTCCTTTGCACAAGGAAATGTGAGGGTTAAAATGTGATCTGTCACATAAAATAAAAAGTTTAGATGGTGTTTTACATGCATGCCTAGGCGTTTTTAAAATAATTAACCCTTTCATGTCCTAACGCCAAAAATAATCTAATTTTTGAGTGGATCATAACCAAGGGTTAACAAACACATGTGAAGTGGCCGTGGACAAGTCARTCCAGCCAACTAACATCACACATAATGTACTGTACATTCAGTACATTCAGTGGGTATYACATGTAATTATTCCATAACCTGGTTCAAGATCATGTGTTCGTGTGGTCATTTTCTTTCATTAAAACAACATGATCACAAACATCACCTTATCTTATGCAAAATTAAAYATCTTAAGCAGATTTGATCTTATTTAGCTCAACGTGATCTGAGCAGAACTGAAGCTAATAATAGAACAGTTTAAAATTAAAACAATCTTATGAAGTTGATTTAATCACTGTTATTTATTGAGCTGGTTAGCAGATATTAGCTTGTGGAGCATATATACAGAGTTTAGCTCTGTTGAATCATGCAACAATTTAACACAAACTATTAAATATTACTGTGTCCTCTGATTAATATTTAGACTTACAGAGTGTAAAATAATATTATAAATGTGAGAATTTTTAGGTTTCTGTTAGAGGAACCTGACTTGTTGAGAAGATGTTAGAGACAAGTTTCATCCTATAACAGGTATACAGAGAACATTTTCAAAGTGACTGGTAAATATAAATATAATTTTTTGACAATAAGAAGAAATATTAAATATACTTTATTACTAGCTGAAGTCATAATTTTTCAACTAGCTAAAGTCTAAGTTACAGGCTGATTTCAGGTCTGGTTTAGATCATTGTTACTTATAAATTATGTATTTTTCTGGAATGAATCTGCTGTTTTACATGATTGTTGAATGAATTTAACAAAGTTATTAATTTATTGTGAAAATATTACAGATAATTTGTGATACAGATCCAGTTCAGCTGCTGTTTATCTATCAGTTTCTATAGTGGCTGTGAGCCGTTGCTCTGTTTGGTCTGTTTCTGCTCCTCCAGGCTGTCACAGACGCTACCAGTGGATGGTATGGGCGGGGCCCAGTCTAGTGATCTTATTCAAGTCTATGGAGTAGACCAGTGATTCCCAACCAGGGGTACGTGAGCAAATTACAGGGTGTACTTGGAAAAATTTCTCAGGTGTGTAAAAAATGTATAAAAATAGAAGTGAGATATGTAGAGCCCTATGATTTTCTCAATTTGAAAAATGCAGACAGAATCRTGGAACTGACTAAACAAAATAGAATCCAGTATAAAATGCGGAATCTCACAGAATTTGCTAATCTGGGTGAGTTTCTGAGGTATTTTGAATGCTGCTGCTTCCTGTACCTGCCGTTAATGGGTCTATTCATTTAATTACTTATTCATTTTCAAGGCGACATATTTATCTTTGTTTAATTTGAGTTTAAAAKAATAAAATGCCTGAGAATTAAATGTTAAGGGGATTAAATAAATAATTGTCATTCAATAATCAATTGTTATACATTATAGTTTTGGAGAATCATCATTACTTTTGACTGAGGGGGTACTAGGGGTGTGACAAAATGGTTCAGGGGGTACACAAGTTAAAAAAGGTTGGGAACCGCTGGATAAGGTACGATGGTGAACAAGATGAATATAAATGAGGTGTATCATTTAAGTGCTGCTCACTTGCTCAACTCTTAATGTGCGCTCAAATCTTTCTGAGACTAATTTACCTTCATACGTCTTGCCGTGTCTCCACATTTCGATTAGCAAACTAAAGGAAGTCGTTGCTCCTCAGCTGCTTTCAGGTTTATGAAGTCCCGCCGGTCSTCAGACCCCCAACCCTTCCAGAGGCTGGAGATCCTGGAAGACGACGACGACGACGACGAACCGCTGATCGGGTAAAACCCACTCAGGGTTGTTCACCATCAGTGCCTCACATGTTGCACTTTACACGTCAACACTGCTGTGGACTCGTGCACTGACATAAAACTGCTGTTACTGTTGATACCATTTCTAGCTTCCATGTTTCTGATGACTGACTTGACAAAAATAAATAAATAAAATAAATAAATAAATAAATAAAATAAAAAAACTGACATTATTCAATGAGCAGCAACTCCTTTTAAGAAAACAGTACAAATGTTTTGAGTAAAGAAAATCATTTTAGTTCAGACAAAAAAAATCAAAACAGTTTTGCTGACATTAGGAGATTTTTTAATTTAAATTTTTCTGTTTTTAAAGTTTGTTCTATTTAAAGTGTATTTTCTTTATTTTGCCAGCAGAGAGCGCCAAGAGCCCTTTAAAGATTGGTTGTGTTTATATTTTTATGTCTTTAAAAATATGAATGTCTTCAGAAGATTTTGAATTTAACAGTACATTTTTTAGGGGGTTGACTTGTTACACTGACTGTTCAGTTTTTAATCAGCAGGAAAATACTTTTAACTGATTTGAATTTTTGTATTTATTCTAAAAGTGAGTCTGCTTTGTTCAGTAGTTGCTTACATATTTAGATGTGTTTCGTATGCAAACATTTCCAAAGACGTCTGCTTTAGGTCAAAATGACTGCTGAAACTCAGGCCTCCAGGGTCAATAGGACCCTATCAGGAGGGTTAAAAGGAAAATTTCTTATATTTGTAGGTAAATAAACCAAATGTCTCTGGTAGATAAAATTACTGTACACTGGATTCACAAGATGTTTTTTTTTTTTTAGGTTTTGTTATAAATCTAAATTTTTACCGGAATAAAAACTGTGAATAGTTGCTGCCTAAAAATTAAAAGTATAGTTTGTAAATATTTCATAATGTCAGGTGAGAACATCAAAATTTTGCTTCCTGTTGTCCTGACAAACCTTAAAGTTTGTTATATCATTAGAATTTGTAGTTCAACCTCAGGACTTGTCATTGAAAAAATAAACAAAATAATAATAATAAAAAAGACTCTATATTGGATTAATTTTTTTTTCATGAGGCATTTCAGATTGGTCAGTTATAAACACTAACCTTCCCTCACTGTTGTCCCTAAATTGACCTGCTGTTAAAAAAAAGCATTGGGGCAGAAAATGGGAACAAAGTTATAATTTCCAACTGTTTCAGAGAGGCGGAGAAAAGGTTTAATTTAATTGTGACGATGTCACAAAATAAGACAGACTAATGTTTTTGTCAGTCTTGGATTGTTTTAAAAAACACCAACGTAGTTAGAGGTAGACTGACTTTTTGCTTTTTTATAGTTTTGGCACGCCAACATATCCCTGAAGGAAGGTGACTGGAGTCATTTGTTAACTTCTGAATTTACCAAGAGAAAGACAAATAACAAATAAAAATTACTGAAAGTAAAAGGTTTCGAGCCATTTGGTGGTCCTGCTAAACACCTTACTGTAAGATACAGCTATGGTCCAAAAATAAACTAAAGAAAAAACAGCTCTTTATGGCAACCATCAGCTGACCTGATATGTGAAAATCTGTATTAAAAAATGCTAATCGGTCAGTGTTTTAAAATAAATAAATATTTTTCCTCTCAATGTTCTGCTCCATACATATCAAACCCTGTGTGTTGATGAAAATATATTGTAATATATTTTATACATCTATTTTATTTTGTGTGTGCAAAGAACGACTTGTTACTGAAAAGGTTTTCAATTTTGTTCTTTAAAATTAGTTTTCTAGTGTTTTTCTCTTTTTTTACTGGGAATCCTTGTCTCTATCTTATACTGTTGTGAACTTTAACAAACCAGAACTCCATTGTTTTGACATGATTCTGGTTCAAACAAGAACAAAAGAACCATGAGAAAAATATTTTAGCTGATAAAAGGAAACAGACATTTATTTAAAGCCATCCTAAAAAACTGCCTTAAATTTGATTATAGTGCACTATACTGTTCTATACTTTACTTTACTTTACCATACTGCACTTTTCTATACTATAAAGGACTGCACTTCATTAAACTGTACCTTGCAATATTATACTATACTATACTGTACTGCACTGTTCTTTACTGTACTATACAGTACTGAACTGTACTCCACTTTGCTATGGAGTACTATAGTACTTTTCTATACTATACTGCATTTTACTTTACTCATTTATATTTTACTGCCCTGTACTACAGTACTGTACTATAATGTACTGTGTGGTACTTTACTACATTGTACTTTGCCATACTGTACTATACAGTACCATTCTGTACTGTGCTATGCTTTACAATACTTTATTTTCCTGTACTTAACAGTTCTGTACTATATATACTATACTGTATAGCAGTGTTTCCCAAAGTTGGGGTCGGGACCCAAAGTGGGGTCCCGAAACATCAAGGTGGGGTCCTGAAAAGATTTTCTGAATTAATAATATTTTTGCCTTAGTTGTTACGGTGTGAGGTTAGTATATTTAAAATGGATAAATGTAGTATAAAATATTGTTACTATGTCCATGTTTAGT